TTGCTTCAGGTCAATAGAGTGTTTTCTTGCTTCATTAACGGAGAGGAAAACTTCTCTCGTATCGTCATTCAATGGAAATTATTGACCACGAAGCACGCGATGACATTTCTATATAATGGGAGAGCACATTTCAGATCTACTTTTTTTTGTTTTTGGATTGGTTCTTGCCCTTTGGCATGTTGCAGCGCTATTTTTCTTTCTTCATGTGCCTCACCGAGTGTCCATAAATCCACAGAATTTATTTCCAATGGGAAACTGAAGACTTGGCGGGATGGCACAAGCAGAGTGCTCAACGACTTAAAGTCTTTGTGAAACACTGAAAAATGTGGAAAAATATAGAAATCCATATTAGAAAGGCTAACAGGAAAGTAGTGAAGCAATCTCCTGAAAGAACATGAATAATTGTCGCTGCATCCCATAAAAGACATTTGCAATTGCCAATAGTGACAGTTAAAACCATAAATGAAGTCCAAACTTTGTCAAATTCTAATTTCTTTTGACAACATTTTGCTTTCAAATATAAACAGATTCTTTCATTTTGCAAAGTGCACGAGCAAATTTAGGCATGTGTGGCGAAGACTCTCCAGACCAACCCAGGCAAAATTTAGCTCCTCCCCCAAAATATCTTCACACAGCTGAGATGCATCACATGAACCCATTTCCTTGACACAATTTACTACTTTCCTTTTAGCCTGGATTTTGGACCATCTCGGGAGAAAGAACACCAAAAAATTGGCGCATTTTTTGCAACTCATGTACACTGTATTCTAAATGGATTGGAATTTCCAAAAGACCGCATATTTTGTCCAATATTTAAATACTCGTCTCTCTCTCCTTTTCCTGTATGACATTTTAATGCGAGGGCTGCTATTTCAACGTGTCGTTTTCTGGCTTCAGTTCATGTAATTGTCATAAAATTTACTTGGGAGATTTATCAGGCTCTAAAAATATGAAGTCTGCAACGAGAACACCATAACTCATCAGCCTCGCTGACGAGATCGGCCGTTGCCTCACCACGTCGACGCTCGTATTTCTTCATGGCCGTGTTTTAATCATTTTTACTGGTGTGTTTTCCAAGTCGTCACCACACTGGAGTAACAAGCTTTTGTCGTGGCAACTATCAGTGACAATATATATATATATATATATATATGAACAAATCTAATAAAACCTCAAAGATGATAACAACTTGATCCCACATCCTCATGTCACGTTTTCTCTTGAAAGAAGCCAAAATGGACAGAGGCGAGGTCACGAATGGCTCGGAAAAAACGTGGACGTCATCCATCGATGTAAAGGAGGACAGCTTACATTGTCCACTGTAGAGACAACAGTTGCGGTTTTAACATTCCGCTGGTCCTGCCGCCACGCTATCACCGGCGCCCATCTCTTATATGCTGATTCTATCATAATAAAGAAAATTGGCTGGATCCCAGTAGAGAGGAGCCCTAATAGAAAATAATTCTGCCCTTGAAACACTCTAGGGGGGTGGGGGTGGGGGAGGGGGGAATCGGTTGTGGTGGAGTGGAGGATGGGGGGTCTTTGATGAGATGATGCTATCTTTATTTAGACTCCGGCATCCGGGGCCGCGACCGTGTGTTCATATATTTAATTAAAATAACATCGCCTGCGTAGACAAAAGGCTGCTTATCACATCAAAAGTGTTCACCCTGCCTTTCTTTTTTCCCCCCTTTCCTCTTAATTCAAAAGATTATCTTTGTTGATTGGCCGCTAACAGGGACTCCGGCGACTCGTCAGACCGCTCGTCGGATATCTGTGGGCTGAAACGTATGACGCTCACCAATGCCATGAAAACCAACACAAATGACAAACTTTCTTCTTGGAAGATCAAGACATAGACATTTTTTAAAAATGTGACTTATATTGAGAAAATATTTCTGAAGCACAATTTTCGCATGAGTTTTACAAAACAAATACCACTTTTTCTCCTTTATTTTCACTTGTCAAAAAAAACCAAATAATTTTTCAAAATATTACACACACAAACACACACGCACGCACAACAGTGTGGTTCTCATTGCTGATTTTATTTTGATTTAATTTTTTTTTCTGTTCAATGAATTCAACTGTTGTAAATTTGACTTTTAGTCTCCATCCAAAAACACTTCCAATTTTCCGAAAATGACAACTTTATTCTTGAGAAATTCCCACTGGACTTTTTTTTTTTTACATGAATTATTATGTTTTTCCTCCGGCAAAAGCGCTATCAAACAAGCCTGGGCCTTTTACTTGAAATACCGTCAGTGAAGAAAACCAACATTGATTAAGATGGCTTTTTTTTTTTTCAAAAACCCCCGCAATCATTTTTAAAAAAAATGCCCAAAATAAAATGAATTTAATTTTACTCTTTTTTTTCCCCCCCAACATATTGAAAAAATGGACGAAGGGTGAGTCACCCAATACTTCACCGAGCATTCCATTGTGTCCATTGTATTCCGTGACCTTGTGCGAAAACTTCACTGCTCTACCTCCAATCAATGCTGTCCTGCACCAAATAAATAAATAAAAGAATACGTATTTAATGTTCCCCCCCTCCCCACCTCCAGGTTGTCCCAATTCACAAAGGGCAAGATGACATTGATTCACCTTTCATTTGGAATTCTACCAGACATTCTCAGCTATCGATTTCCCGCCATCATTTGGTGGGGGCGGGGGCCCCCCCGCCACCGACAGTATGACATGTGTCATTTCATTTTTGCTCCAGTGTGGCCCCATTACGAGCAGGTGTTGCTGGAGATAAACGCTCCAATGGGAACGACGTAGCGGCTGCTGAATCCTCCTTTTTTTTTCCCCCTGCTTATTTTTGTATTTTCAGGGAAATGAAATGGAACTGAGCATTATCTTATTTTCATTTTTTGAAAAAAACACAGTTTCCAATGTTTCACATTGAATTATTGAAGTTCAACCCCAGCAATGATGTCGTGAGCATGAAAATAGGTTTGAGATGTACCTTAAATCACAAGAATAGAAATGATTTGAAAATATATTATTTTGTTGCAGCACTCCTCCATCCCCTCAAAAAAAAAAAAATCACAATATTTTGTTTGCATGTTTTGAATAAATGGGGGGAAAAAGTTCTTTATAAAAGAAAATAGCACAACAATGTACTTAAAAAAAGTTGAATTACTCTGCATGCTGTAGTATTCCAGTGTTGGATGTGCCTTTAAAGGGCGTGCCCTCGTGAGTGACATCAATAGCTGGAAACAGGTTGGGCCAAGTGCGTGGGAATTGTGGCAGCATTTGTAAGTTGGATAATTTGATTGCATCGGCGACTGAGGCTCTCCTTGCACATATGTGATCTGAAGTTTCACAACAAAGACAGAAAAAAAAATCCTCTTCTATGGTGATCGTAGTCCCAGGGGCAAATTTTATTTTTAAATTATTTCATCAAAAAAATTACAATAAATCCATGAAATGTATTACGTTTAATTCATATATTTTATCACAAAATTGCATTTTATTGCATTTGTTATTATTTGATGAATATTGTTGATTCTTTAAACATTAGGGGAAAAAAATAATTGTTTGGAACATATATTTTTTCATTTTATGTTTCCATTAACTCTAATAAAATAAATAAAACGTTTTTCGGCACGTCACAAACTCACCCAGGAAGTAACGTTGACCATTCTCCATATTTGGGCGTGAGTCTGGCCTGGAAAAACCCTCCAGGCGGGGGCGCTGTGGCTAAACAATGGTGGTAAAGAAAAACAAGAAAGTGCAGTCAGCAGTTCTAACTGGCTATAGCTGTCAGCTAATGCTATGCTAACGTTTGAATGCCAAACTGTGATGTTACAGAATCAATTTCAAACGACTACTCAACTTGATACAGTTTGGGTTGATTACATAACGACTTCATATAAACATTCCTGTCAGAACTCACATAATTTATGGATTTCTCCGTGCGTTCCTCAGATAGCCTTGAAGCTAACAGGCAGACCGGCCTCAAAAAACAAAACGTCTTTGTCAACAAATTAAAAAAAAGTGCAAAACAGCTGGCACAATATGAGCGTGGAACAGTGGAAAAATACAACTCTTTGAACGTTTTTATACAGTACTGCATCCAGTTTGAAAGAAAAAAAAAGTATCACTTCCACAACAGGTGTTAGCTGTGTTGCTAATGAAGCATGGATACGTCCCACGTAGCTTTCGGCAAGCTGTCACTAAAGCCGACAGAAATGGATTTTGAAAACATTCTAAGCTCGTATTGTAAGACCGACTTGAAACAAACCACAGGTCCAAAAAAACGTACCTTTTATCCATTACTTTCTTTAAAAAAAAAAAGAAATAAAACTTGTAAATAACTGTGCCAATACTATGCCTTTTTACCCCACCCCCCAAAAAAAACAAATTTCATTTTGTTGGTTACATTTAAAACAGGAGACTGTAACATATTAGACATTGAGTCAAATAATGTATTTCATTCGAATCAATATGTTTGTGACTTCTTCTATGGGACCATTATTGCATTTTGCAAATGAACCCTTTCAGGGACAGCGGTTACTACAGTGGCTAGCTTATCATGTCATCAGGTTACAGGGTGCATGAAAAGGTTTACAATGAGCCATCATCATCGGAAAAATACCACAGTCAATATTTCTCTCCATGGTATTGTTGAGACTTAAAAAAAAATTGGTGTACTTACCTCAAGGTAAGCGTCCGTCCACTTTATTTCTAATCAAATAAACGAGGAGAAAAAAAAAAGCATCTTTTGTTTTCACTCCAAAAGCTTTTTTAATAAGTACAACAGCCACCATTGTACAAGAAGTGCCTTAGTACTCATCAGTGCTTCCGTTCTCTACTCTTTTCTGAGGGACACTTTCATAACAACCACTGGGACAGAACTCTTGCTATCTACACTGAAAAGCAGGGAACAAACCAAAACTAGACCTGTCAAACAAAGAGATTTCACAAATAACGTGATGTTGTTCTTTTTTTTTTCTTCTTTGTTTTATGAGAACAGGGGAACAAAAATTGCATTTTTTTTTTTTCTTCTTTGTTTTATGAGAACAGGGAAACAAAAATTGCTCACAGGTACAGACACGGGGTCGATCGTCCGAAAGAAAAGCTTAGCTAGTTAACTGTACATTTACATAGAATCATTTTTTCCTCCCTTTTATAATTTGACAAAGAAAAGAGCAGCGATGCTTTCACGTTATTTGCTTGCTTTTACTTCTTTAGCAAACAAAATGTGCCAAATAAATTCTTGGAAAAAAAAAATGTCAAGGTGTATCATAAAATAGTCTCTTGTCTATAGTTTGGATTTGTTTGGATCCGACTACATCCTCTAAGTTTTCACACAGATGATCCGAGGCGAGAGCGGGCGGTAAAATGTCTTCGGCTGACCCTCAGTTTTTCCACAACGGAACCTCATTGTCTCAGAGACACGGCAATAAAAAGAAAGTGCCGGCGACTGATGGAGAAAAAAACAACAAAACAAAGATGTGACCCGGCGGGGGTCCGTCTATAGGCTGGTCACCAAGTGCGAGGGCTCCTGGAGGGGCTCCTCCGGGGACAAGCCGTCCTTGTTGGGGGGCACGATGAAGCCGTCGCTGCTCCCGCGTCCCATCTGGTAGTAGGAGTGCAGCTGGTGGAGGTGGTTCCCGGAGCCCAGGTTGGGCATGCTCTTGTAGTACACGTCATCCGAGCTAGCCCCGGGACTCTTGGCCTCGCCCCCGTCCTTGGGGTCCGCCGGCAGCCCCGGGAGCATGGGCAAGCTGGTGTAGAGCGAGTCTCTCTGGCGCTGAGCGGGCGGCGGCGGCGAACCCTCGTCCTCCTCGGCGTTCTCGTCATTGAGCAGGGGGAAGAAGCTCTCGCTGTTCTCCTGCGGGATCCGCCGACGGGACGATGAGGTCGGGGCGGCCGAGTAGGGGCGATGGGGCAGCGGGAGGGGCGGCGGCTGGTGCAGGTGCTCGAGCGAGCGGTCGAACGAGCGGTCCGGGCGGGGGAGTGCCCTCTGGGGCAAGAGCGGCACGTTGGACTCCAAGCCCAGGCCTTCGTCGGGGTGGCCGCCGAAGGTGCCGTGCTCCGGGTTGATGCCCATCGCCGCTCGCAAGCCGTACGCGTAGCCGCTCTCCTTGGAGCCGTTGCTGACGTTGTTGACCAATTTGTTGACCAGGTTGCGGTTGTGCTCCGCCGAATTGTTCAGGTAGGACGGGATGTAATTGGAGGCCAACTCTTTGAGGATCTTCTTCTCCAGGGTGGTCTCCTTGTGGTTGTAGCCCCGCTCAATGATCTGGACGCAGTCGCTCATGTAGTCGGCGCTTGCGATGCTGTAGCTGTGGTTACCATTCAGTGGTAGTGTATCCATGACACTTGTATCCCGGGCATTGTTCAGGATTCCCTCTGGAATGACAGAGGGGGGTGGGGGAGCAAAGCGGCCATATTAAAGGCTGATGGGACGTAATTGGCGCGCAAATAACACCCATCAAATTCCGCGGTGCTTTTAGCCTGAAATCTGTCCTGAGCGAAAAAGCTCTTTGAACGCAATTGGGTAGAGTGCACTTTTGCAAACAAGAAGCGACAAAAAAAAAAAACATAGTATGTCTATTAAAAGCCTATATGGAGACCCAGTTGCATACAGTGGAACCTCGAACATTGGACTGAAGTGTTGCCTCAAAATGGAAATATTGAGCTTTTTATTCGAGAAAAAAAATGCTTTCCATTGGAGAGCAACATGTAAAAATTGGAGAAGATTCTTTTCATTGGAGAAAAGAAAACTGTGGTCTTTGCTTTTCATTGGGGAAAAACATGCAAAAAAAATTGGAGACATGCTTTTTATGAAAACACACAGTTGGCAGATACTGTAGATGCTTTTTTGGAGGAAAAAATACATTTTGAGATATATGCTTATTAATGGAGACAGATTAAAAAAAAGAAACACCACCACGTGCTTCCCTTGGATTAAAAAAAAAACATGCAGAATTTGGTAAGACAAGCTTTTTATTGAGAAAAAAAAATGTTGAAAAGAAAACTTGTGCGATCCATTCTTTTGATTGGGAGAAAAAGGTGAGGAGAGTGTAAAAAAAACAGTTCATTGGAAGAATGCGCGAAAAAAGATGTGGAAAAACTTGAATTTGTTTTTGCTCCAGCACAAGCTTCTCAATGTAGAAAAAGACGGCAAAAATTGGACATGCTATTCACTGGTAAAAACATTTTAGGTTGGGAAAAGACAAATCCATTTTCACTTGCTTTCTATGGGATTTTCTTTTTTTCTCAAAATGCTAGCCACAGAAATTCCACTGTATTTCGTGTCATTACGTTTGAATGGATGGGAACACAGACAAACACACAAAAGCTCAAGCAACAGACAAACACACAAAAGCTCAAGCACAACAAAACAGCACAAAGCACAAACTCAATAACTAAAAGTCAATCTGGACCCAGCCATATTGTCCCGTACGAGCATTTTAGCAGCATTGTTGACATAATACAAAGTGCATGAACAAAGGCGACTGTTCAATATCCAGGCAAAAAAAAAAAAAAAGAAATACAAGTCAATTCATATTGATGTCTTTTTTTTTTTCGTGTTGAATTGGCAACCGCTATCGTGCCATTAAATGTGCCGATGCGTGTTGTGCAATTATTTTGAAAAGGGCCTTTGTTGCCTGACTTTGTAAGCGCGGCGTGAAAAGGAAGTAAAAAGCCAAAGTCAATTACATTTGATAAGCAATGTTTAGTTTGACTCCCATACTTGTCTCTCTGTAGGGCTCTTAAAGGGACAGCATGAAGGGAAGAAGAGCACACAATCAGCAAAACAGTCACAGCGTCAATCGATATGCAAACACAAAAAAACAACAAATACATGAAAAGAAAAAGATGCTATGCTAACGCTAACACAACTTTCGGCAACAAAAGCAATGCATCGCAACGGCAATGAAACTGTCCTGTTCATGCACGGAGACATAAACAATTGGAGATACATGCTTTTGATTGGACACCGATGCTAAGCTAGCGCTAACACAACACGGGAGGTGTCCTGGCTGGTCTGCAGCCATTTTAGACTGCAGAAAGTGTGTTGCAGTAGTAATGACACTTTTTTAATTTATTTTGTCATCAACAATTAGACGCTGATGCTATGCTAGCGCTAACACAAGATCGTTCTTATGCTGTATGCTAACAATGGCCATTGGAATACAGTGTGGTTGTCGCCAGCCGTGCATTTCATGTTAAAGGCAGAATGAAATCAGGCAAACATTCTCAAATGTTCTTTTTGGGGGGGGGGGGAAGTGAGAGGTAGGTGGGTGGAGGCACTGCTCCAGCTGGAACAGTGAAGAGAAGTGAGCACACCTTGCGCGTTGTACATGCCCAGCGGGTTGTTATAGACTGCCGACTCCCCGAGCAATGTATTATACGGATTGTTAGTGCCATGAGGACGTAGGAGTGCATTAGGTATAAGATGGTTAGCCATAGCCCCTGCAGCAGCCAGAAAAGACAGAATAGGACAGGAAAGAGAGAACGGGAAGGGGGGGGGGGGTCAGGAACAGGTACAGGTGGGTGGATAAATTGAGACAGAGCGGGAGAAAGGGAAAAAAAACACATATCAGTTGGGCAGATGTAGCCGAGAGCCATTAACATCCAAATGATCACATGATCATTAATGTGACGGAGAGATGGTGGATTCGGGGGAAGGGGGAGGGGAGTGGTGGGGGTGTGAGAACCGGACTGACAAAAGCTAATGCGACTGATGAAACCCAAGCACTAATGTTGGCCATTAGTGCATCCGTGCAGCGAAAAAGAGCGACGGCGAGGTTCGGACATGTCCTAATGTAACGTTTTTAGATACGTCACGGGACAAAATTAAACAAAAAAAAAAAGGAGAGAGAGAGAGAGAGAGAGACTGGTGTGAACCCGCAAAGCACGTTGCGATCATCATTATGAACGTATGTTCATATTAGTACTCGTAACCTCCTTCAGAGTCATTAATTTGGAGATACATACTTTCGGGGGGAAAACAAGCCAAATCTGAAGGCGCATGCTTTTCATTTGGGGAAAAATGCAGAAAATTGGGCAAAAGATACAGTTATAACTGCCTAGATGTCGCAAGATGGTGACAAAGCCATGACTTTTGTCGAAATGGAGCTCCTCAAGTGACTTCAACATAGTCCCTTAGTATCAAGATGGCGCCAGCAAAATACTTTGATTCAATTTGCGAGTCCTGAGTTGTGAATACGCAACAGTGTGAATGCTTTTGATTGGAGAAAAATGCGCGCCAACTTGGAGATACATGCTTATGATTGGAAGACAACTTGAAGAAATTTTCATTGGGGAAAATATGGAAAATGTGACGATGTGTTTTTAATTCGGGGAAAAACTGGGGAATTTGGAGATACCTGCATTTCAGTGGGGAAAATACAGGCTGTTTATGTAGAACAAACAATTTCTTGGGATCAAAAATACAAAATTGTGAGGCACCCGACTTCATTCGGGGAAAATGTTGAGGCAGATGCAAAATTCAAACTTGTTCATTCCAATAGCACTTGGGGAAAAAACAAAACAAAACGAAACTTAAAAAAGTCACAATATCAGTCGGCAATCGATTTATTTTTGTTGAATTTGATTTCAGGGAAGTCAGCCAGCATTGAAGGCAGAATCGTATTCATTGAAAATGTTCCTTAATGAATAATTGTAGACTTTACTGGCATTCACAGTATTTATTAGGCGTCTTGGAAATTTAGATTTTTTTTTTTTTTCTTAAAAGCAGTCACTACTTGACACCCCCCCCAAATTACGGTCGCGTTCAACAAACAGCACCCCTTGCCGCCCCCTTGCATCCCAAACCCCCTTCTTGTGACACATACCGCATTTATCCTGTCTCATAAATTGGGCAATTGCGAACGAGGCGACACGTTTGATACTCGGCGGCGCCGCCACCGCCTTCCAGGGACTCGTCGGAAATTCGGTGAATAATTCAGACGAGGCTTTTATCTTTATGGAGGAGTCATGTTGACTGGGTAAAAGCTGTTGATGGTCGCAAGAGCTGAGTGGCTAATTATTGAGATCTTGACACGTCTTCTTCACGTTGTCGCCATCATCCATCACTGTAAGCGTGCATTAGCACCTGCCGCGATTTGAATGCGCCAACCATCAAGTTGGGGCTAGGAGGCTGGGGTGGGGGGGGATTTATATCTAAACCAAGGGGTCGCAAACTTTTTGGGTCCCGGCAGTAAATTTTCTCAATGCCAGAGGAATTAAAAAGTTGCCCATCGTTTAAGAAACATGAGAATGAAGTCATATTCGATTTCTTTTGTCGGAATATAAAGTTGTGATCGTCACAAAGGAAGAAAGTCATATCTTGTATAGTTTGTCATGTTTCTTTTAAATTAATTGCACATCAATTTGGTCAAATCTGTTGTTAATTTGGTTGGATTGGGATTGCAAAAATACAACTTTATTCTTACAATATGGTGCCATTTATTCGGGGAAATGGTGCTTTGACAGTAAAAAAAACAAAAAAAAACCCCCAAAAAAACTATAAAAATAAAGATAGGACTATAATCTCCAAAGTTATGCTTTTTATTCTGCATACTTTATCACGAAAATTCCAATCATCAAGTTTTTAATTTTCAGTGGATTATTATGTTTGTTTTTTTTTTTTTGTCGCACTGGCCCACACAACTAGTTCAGCACTTTTGTAAACGCTAAGATGATAGTGACATATTAAACATTATTTTGCAAAATTCCTAAGCTACGGCTCGTGGACCCCAAGTTGCAGAAAAGTTGCCTTAAATGCATTACAACTTTTTTTTTTTTTTTTTTTAATGAACATCTTTCCACTGCGTTGACTTTTAGGTGGCAGTTCAGCAGTTTTGAAATTTGCCAACCACAGCTTGGCCGTGCTTGATGAGGGGGGGGGGGATTTGGAGCTTATTTAATAATGCATGACGTGCATGACCCACGCTGTGAAAATAAAACAGATCTTCTTTCTCATCTGAACTGTTGGATACTTAAATAACGGAGCAAAAACCAGCACACTGTCGAAGCACCCCACAAAAATGCTTAGCAGTGGATAAAGACTGACAAAAAAAAAAAAAAAAAAAGCTAAATTAAAAACTGAATTCAGAAATGCAGTATATGCATTTCAATGTTAACAAGCAACAAAATTGCCAAATTCTTATATGCATGCAGGTCATCGGCTGAAAACTAACAAAAGTATGCTAAATTTTCATTCGATAATATCAAACAAAACTTTTACTGGGTTAAAAACACGGTTTTAAACTAAAACTTGGAGAAACGTACATTGTCTTGGATGCATACAAACACAAAATTGCAAAATTTGGGGAAATCTTTTCATTTCCTAAAAACAAACTAAAAATATTTGAAGACACTTGGTTTACATTCGGAGACGACTCGCAGAAATTTGCAGGTACATACGTTTTGTGGGAGGAAAACATGGAGAATGTCATTGGGGAAAATCCATAACCTGGAAGACAAGAAATGGAGCAAATACCTCTGTTGAGCGACGCCGAGCTGTTGATGTCGCCGGTCATGAAAGACGACTCCGACTGTTTTCTGACCGTATCGTTCCACATCCGACGGATGCGACTCTGCGGGGACGACAGTCAACATGGTTAAAAGAGTCGTTCTGTGTCGTACGCCGAGCCTCCCGTCAAAGACGGGAGCCTTCTGCACCCAGTCAATGATAAAGTCATCAGTCAGGCTTTCCCAATCCATGTCTGGGGATACGGCGACTCAATCTGAGATGGCGCGATCCGAGTTAATTGCACCCGAGTCCCATGGGCCGTTGCGCAAGCTCAGGGTCTCTGACAACTCTGGATCCAGTGTCGCGGGGGTTTGGGATGAGGCAAGTGTCGGTGTTAGTGAGCTGGCAGGCAAATTCCAGATTTAAAATCCTCTGGGTGTGCCTGCACCCCATGGAGAATGAACTTTGAGTGATCTTTATAGTCGAGGAAATCAGCGGTGGGGGAGGGATGCCCTGGCGGTGCTGGAAAATGGATTTAGCTGGGCCCGATATTAACGGTGGCCCGCTACATGAATCTGTTGGGCCGTCCAACGTTTCGCTGGTGCTGGCCCGATGGGGCCAGCAGAAAAAAAAAATACAAATAAATGAGATGAAACAACATATTATTGCTTATCTAATATTCTATATTTTGAGTATTATCATCTTTGCTCTTTTTTCCACTCATTTCGCACATTTGATCGCCCTCGTTTGTTTACCGGATGTGCATTATGCATTTTAGCCAATGACAATACACGCGTCACTATTTTATCCACCTGTAGGTCTACATATATAATTATAAATTTTGTTAAGTATTGTTTTAAATCGCAGAATCTATTTGTAGGGTAGTGGAGAGTGTGGATATTTTTTAAGTGGTTGCCTTGATCGGTCATTGACTCGATACGTGCATGCATTTTGTCAACAGAGATGGCACACTTCACTATTTCAACTACAGGTAAGCTTACAAAAGAATGATAGATTTTGTTAAGTATTGTTTTAAATCAGGGCCGTTGTCGGTTCTGGCAGGGTCACTAAAAGCAAAATGGCTTCATGTTGACTCTGCTTAGCATCCTTCCACTCTGCACCCAAAGAATTTGCAGTGAATAAAAAACCCTCAGGAAGTATGCTGTGATTTTGCATCAAAATCAAGTTCCCAATAATATTTCTAGACATTTTGAGACACAATGTAATTATTAATGCCATCAATTAGTCCCGTCACTAACAGGTAGACATTAACAATGTGCGAATAATATTTTTTAAGGGATATTTTTAAAGGGATTTTAAACACCAACTGTGTTTTCCTGCGATTATAACATGGCGACAAGACAACCGCAATACGATTTGTGTCTTATTTTAAAGGGTGAGCTTGGCGTTTTCTCCAGCGTTTCCGTCCCAGTCATATGAAAACGCTGACACCCTGTCAAAGCGGCATGTATAATTAAAGGCCCTGATCTGCATGCCGAATCCAATTGCGGGTTTGCAACCATATGTGCTCGACGCTAAGGCCGATTCATAATTGAACGCCGGCTGCGAGTATCGTGCTTTTGGAAAATGGACATGGTGTTCAATTACAGCGTAGCGCGCAATTCATCCGATGCTTTGACTGCGACGTGGGAAGAATGCGGGAACAATCGAGATGACAAGGAAAAAAAAACGCACCAAACTCCATCTCTGATGCGCTTCCTGAAAACACCCCGCCCCCCTCCCCCTATATATAAAAAGTTAATTATTACGATTATTGATCGCATCTTTCACTTGAGCGGGATGAATTATTGGAAAGTATCAGCACCAATTTTCACCGGCGGGTAATTAGTCTTCTTTTAATAAACAGATGACAGCCATGAAGAAGAAAAAAAAAACAGGAAAACTAATTAACAATGAGGAAAAATAGACTTGGAAGAAATCTATTGGCATTATTTGTCAATTAATTAAAAGTGATTTGAAGATGAGATTCAATCAGTGGGGAAATGCACAAAATTGGACTGTCGTGCTGAATCACAAGTGTTGTCTAAACAAGTACGCCAACACTTGCTACTTGGGGAGTAGCAAAAATACTACAAAATTAGCAAAGGGCAACAGTACTATTAATTGGAAAATGTATTGTACGACAACAGAGGGGGCACACTTAAAATATTCAATTTAATATTCTATAACCCAGCTGGTGTATTTATCATGTGCGTGAAGTGAGGCAGACAGAGTTCTGCCTCACCAAGACATACTTCTATGAAGCAAAGAATTGCTTCGTGTGCCCAGATTTCCAGGGAGTCCCAAACATCTTACAAAAGCTAATTAACAAAGTCTTGTTGATAAAATAGTTGTTTTTAATTCACACACATAATTATCAGTCGTCATTGTTTTTGACTGCCTTCCTCCCCAAAGGACTAGTCCATCTTTTTGATTCAAGAATATGAAACAAACTACTTGGTGAGGTTGTGATGAAAATTAAGTGGGAGCTCCACTCAGTCTTCTAAAAAAATTGGTGTTTAATGAAAGCCAAACATGGAAGATGTCTAAACTGAAATCATTTCTCAGAACCGGACAACAAATCGAAAGGCAATACGAAGCGTTTATTTTTGTGTGGTGGGTGCCAAGTCTTGGAAATCATTTCAAATACATGAAACTAGTCTGGTCAACGAAAGTGGACAACCTGTGAGCCAGCAGAGTAGCGTCCAGGACCACGAGAAGCATTTCCCTTGGAACCAATGGAGCTTTCCATGCTTTTGCCACTGCAGCAGTGCGTACGGAGGCACTTGCCAAACTCTTTACGCACCTGAAAACAAAACAAAACAGGACAGAAAAATGTGACCGGAGGGTGGCGACCATTTTTGCGCCAATGAGCCCGTTTGGGCATTGAACCACCATACCTTCTTCTGCAGCACGCAGTGGAAGATGAAGATGAACATGCCCTGCAGCGAGTTGAAGATGGTGAAGAGGTAGGCCATGACCACCGTGCTCTCGTTGACATACATCAGGCCAAAGGCCCAGGTGAGGCCCAGGAGGCACAGCAAGGCGATGGCTCCGATCACCCACGATCTTCAAACACAACCCATTTCCTTGAGTTAATCTCGGCCTCTTTCATCGGGCCAAAAATGTACACGACTCACAAAACGCGACTGGGCGAAATTTCACGATTAACCTACGATGGATGAAAAGTTTGTATAGAAGAACTTAAGGTGACTTTTTTTTTTTTTAACTGTTGAAAGGTTGACGAAAAAGGGAGCTCTAACTAACACCCCCACTCTCGTTATATTGACTGGATGTTTGGTTTGGATGACTCATGTTTTCGATTAGCTTTGATTAGCTTTGGGAGAATTGGTTCCGTACTTTGTTCTACCCAGCACCGCAAATGTCTCCACTGCATTTTCAATAAAAATACAAAAACATTCGCTACCCACACAAAAAAAAAAAAAATAGGGCTGTTGGGCTGTAGTGAGAATTTGACATTTAGCGGTGTTAGCTTATAATTAACTGTTAACTTGTATCATTGTCAAATCTCATCGCGCTATCTCAGTGTTGCTATGCTGTGCTAGGTTGTAATTTTCCCGTACGTTTACCCCTCCCAAGAAGACAAAAATGGTCTAAGAGGGGCCGCACAACACTGCTTGGGGAGACGCTCCATCACAGATCTGTAAATTATGTTTCTCCATCAATTGTAGCCGAAATAAATCTCATTGTCGCGCAAAGACTTTCGTTGTCTTGGTTTCCCTGGTCTAGACAAGTGCTTTCAAGGGAAATCAGTGACCTATCACCTTTCCAGGTGAACTGGTTGAATTAGAATTGGTATTTTAACAGTTCTCTTGATCACACTGTTGACGTTTTGACATCACACGACCGAGACAACACCTAACAGCTGGCTTAAAATTGAAAGAGGCAATCGGCCGCGGAGCTCCATGTAAAATAATGTAGGTTCATCCTGGAATTTCATCCCAAAGCTCAAGATCTTCAACTTTTTTTGTGAGTTGTTTCGCTTTCATTGTAGCTAATTTTGCACTCTTGGATTTCTGGGCCCTGGAAAAAGGTACACTCACATTTGGGTCCGAAAAATATGACTAAAATACAGACATCATGATTGTTGAATGAAGGGGAGATGCGGCACACAAACAAATGAGACGACAATGGATGGAATTGAGCTTGAGCTTTTAGAGTCTTGGCTACGTTTTTGAAACACAGACTAGACGATCATTAAAGTGCGACTTTATATCTTGGATAATGGAGGTCCGTATAAATGGCAGCAAAGAAAACAAATCTATTTACTTTCACTGCATGAGATTTACAGCATGTTCCATATTTCACTCAGTTTAATTGGCAAAAGTGTCTTGTAATGTTGGGGCAAACCGAGACACGTATTTATTGTCTGGGTTTTTTTTTTTGTAAGCTTGTTAGATACATCAGCAAGTGGCTCATATCACAGTTGTAATCTCTCAAGGGCATTTGCCAGGTTACTATCGTGACATCGTGTATGTAACATTTGAAAAGTTGTATATATTACAAAAATAATGTTCGAATTCGACATAGAAAAAAGAAAGCTACAATTGTTTTCGTAACAAGTTGAAAAGTTGCAAGCATGGCATTGTGGACATCTCGCTACAGGCAAGACTCAAATCAGAATTTTGGAATGTCCGAATTTGACCATAACTTGCCCAGGCTACAATTTTCTGTAACTAAACTTGTCATTTATTTTGAACAACAATGTTCGTGTGCCTAGCCACAAAATGAAAAAAAAGCATACCTTTGTAAATATCACAATAAAAAATGTTGGCGAGAGGATTATTGCAAATAAAAACAAAAACAACACATCTTTTTGCTTGTGGCATGTGTCACACAGAAATCACATCATTGATTGGACAGGGGAGGGATTTGGGTTCCTGGTTTTCCCGTGTGTGTATGTGAGGGCAAAGAAATGAAGCCGTTGAGCGGGAGAGGGTGAGACATTTTTTTTCCGAAATTTCTCTTACTTGATCTTGGGTTCGAAATCCTGATAGCTGGGCAAAACAAATGTTGGAGCATTATGAGAACTTACATCACCGAGACGTGAGGGGGGGGCAAACGGGGGAAACATCGGTGATCAAAACACATTCACAATCTGACATCACGAGCTGCATTTCCGCCGTTTCTGGTGAAAAGACTTGTTGGTGATTTACAGGCGCCTGCCACCATTATCTCTGCTCACAGGAGCATCCAGCCGCCGTCGTAAACATTGGCAGACCTTCACGTTTAAAGGACTAATAAATGGGTCAGGTGCGCGGCGAAATTTGTGATTTATGAATTCAACATCATTTTCCCAGGGCTGTCTTAATGACCTGGCGGCAGAGGGTACTTCATCAAGGCGAGCGCGATCCGGAGAGTGGGCAAAAACCAGAGCGCTGTCCTCTGACGAGAGGTCATCAGGAAGACTGACTGCTGAACAAAACTTGGGAGAATCACTAAAGAACAAGCGGATTGTGACGCCGACAGTTATGGTCCAAACAAAAGCATCATTATTTCCCCCACTTTTGAAAAATCTCCGACACTTCTTCATGTGTATTTACGTCAGGGCCAGTGACAGCCCGCGGGATATAAAAATTGGGGACATTGGGCTTTCAAATGAAATTTTAGGACTGACTTAAAATGCATGAGAAGGTTTCCAGGTGAACTTAATTTTGACTTTGTGGAACTTTTGAATGCACACATGGTGAGTTTTGCTGTTGAGCTCCTTGCAAGAGAACCAAAAGTTGTGCAAAAAGAACTGAAACATTCAACAGTTGTACACGGCGGCCAAGAAATTTAGGGAAGATCAAATTAAGTTCACGTCCTAAAATTTTGGTAAAAGCCCCAAATCACAAACTTTTATCACTCAACGCTTCTAATATTTTGTTTGATATGATACACTATAGAACATTTTTAACCCTTTAAGGGACAGCGGTGACTACAGTGGACACCTTATCATGTTATCAGGTTACACGGTGCATGAAAGGGTTAAAGGACATGCATCGCCATATTAGCAACAACTCTCAGAGTAATGCAGTCTGAAGAAGTCCACCCGGAATAAAACCCAGCAAAGTTTTATTGCACTCATCACCAAACCGAAGCTATAAAAATTGGCAATTTTGTGCCACCAAATTGCTCTCAATATCCTGCAAATTCCCTCGAATGAGCGGAGTCGTCAATCATTGCAACACCGCGTGACTCATTTTCTTGTACGAGACAAAGATAAATGGTTCATCAGCCTGGAGTCGATCAGGAATTATAATTCCAAAATAATATACGAAGTAATAAAATGTGCAGCGACAATGAACTTCTCTGCATTACAAAGGTGCTTCAATTTATTTGTAGAAGCTGGACAAAATATTGCTCTGTGGGAAAAAAAAAGTCGGAAAAGTTTTCACCCAACCCAGTGTATGACCCAAAACCTGATAACCAAATTATTCAAAACACCTCTCCGTTTAATGCAGGGCAGTTCTGTGTCCGACCCAAACTACACCTCAAGTCCTGTTGTGTCAATTTTCCCTCACAATAACTTTTTCAGATAAATATATTTTGCTGAAACAAGACCATGGGGAAAAATATTGTCAGGCAATAAAGTAAAAAAAAAAAAAAAAAAAAAATCCTCAAATTCTCCTCAAAATAACTTATTTAGCAAGGGAAGCAGAAATAAAAATGACAAGATATAGTTGTTTTGAGTCAAGTCTGAATGAACCCTCAAACTGTTATCGACAGTTTGCCTTCTAATCCGGCGCAATGTGTGGATGAATGTCGGTTTTTCTGTTCGTCGTCTTCCTATTACGTTCACGGTGTCATTCTCCTCCGTATCTACAGTAATTGCTAGCTAGCTAGCAGGCATCTAAAATATTTTCGTCATTCCGAAATTAGAACGATTTACTGCATCCGTGTCGAACAATCATGGCAAATGTAGTCCTACTAGCTTAATGCTATGGTCGCCTGGTAGCTCCAACGCGAGCTGAGCTTTTCTGGTAGCATATTTCCAATGTTATCATGTAGCTCCGGATCGGTGCGAGGGAAACAACAGCCATCTGCCAATCGCTACGTGGACCGAACAAAAACGTTTGGATCATGGTGATGGCATAAACCAAAGTCATAACCCGACCACCGTTCACCAGATTGATTAGCGATGGTAAAAAAAAAAAAAATTCCCCCAACCATCGTCGGGATCCCCTCCTCTGCTCGAAGCTTCACCCGTGTTGTTGCACAGTGAACAAAAGCAAGGGAGCCGCGTGGCGCGATACAATGTTTTCAACCGGTTTGAGCAAAGTCGCGCTGAAGCTAGTGAGCAAATAAACATAAGGTACAATTCTAATTAGAAACTCTTGAATATACAATGCTTCACAAAACTAACGGGCTTCTTAACCCTGTGCGTCTGGCCACAATAATAAACTCATTGTAATATGTGAAAAACAATTTTAAAACACTTCAACTGGGAGGGGGAGTTTAGGAGCCAAAACATCAAATACGTTGTACTGTTACAGGCCCGGGAAGGATTGGGAGGGTAAAAACACGTCTCAAAAACACAACAGCCATTTTAATCTAAACTAAGAAAATACTGCGTCTTACCAGTGCAACTCTACAATAACGCATCCATCGTAATAACGGTGGCTAAAATGACGAAAAACAAACAAATTCAAGATGAAAATGACCAAAGAATAACACAAGAGAAAGAAAACGAAGTAAAGCAGCATGATGACATTGTGACAAAAAAAGGACTTACATCAAATCAAATAAAAAGATAAACACAAGCCCAAAGTCCCGACAACAAATAAGCTGCCATTCATGTTTACACACAAAGCGGAACAACCTTGACTTGGCCATGATGAAATACAAGTACAGATTGGCACCACAGTTGCTGTCATTTCTCTGAGTAATGGGCTTTGCCTTAAAAAAAAAAAAGTCAGATGAATGAGGCCCGCCAATTTTGTCGTGGTCAGGCGGAACGTCGCTGACTGTTTTGAAGTCACGTTAAGAGTCCGGCTTAAGGCGCGTTAGGGGAGCTCGGTGTCATAAATCATAACGGCGAGAACATGACACAATGAGTCGGAGGGGAACGGAGGAAGGGCTCGGGGATGAACGCGCCAAAGTGGAAGTGCAGCGACTGGCCGACGTCATTCTGAATTTGGAGCCGTTTGATTTTAGCACAGTTAGCGGCAAATATTAGACAGAAGTAGAACAAAACATTATTCTTTGAAAAAACAAAAAAAAAATAAAAATTAGACACATCAGCCACTAAAAATGAATACAAACAAATCATTTTTACAAGATACAAGGAGGGGGGTTTGTATATTTTTGTTTGTTTGGGGTTTTTTTAGGTTCATATTGAGACAATATTATCTAAATGGGTATATTCATATTTAGATGCATATTTAAGTAGTAAAGGCTTTTTGTATGGTCCAGGGGTGGCCATGAGCGCACACTTTGATGTGGATGGCTGGTGTTCCGCCATTTGATCAATGACAGTGTAGCAAACGGGGATTTTTTTTTTTTTTGTTCAAATGATGAAAAGCGGATAATTCAGGTTGATTTATTAACCATAAGCATGTAAAAGGAAGCTCCCGCGGTGCCATTTCAAAGTGCTATTTCTTGCTAATGGGATAAAAACAGGGAGGCATATACAGTAAGCGCGATCCAAACCCTCTTACTTGATGTTGTCCAGGCAACCGGAATCGGGCTTGAGGATGGCTGTGTGATGGAACATCTTGTAGAGCGCAATGGCCAGGAAGATCACGTTGAGCTGCGGGAAAGAAGAGCGGGGACGTATCTATTCATTTCGAATCAGACCACTTTGGAGCGCAAAGCTCGCCTGCTTGCCCCCCACTTTGCCAAACAGAGCGCAAAATCCTACGAAACCTCCGTGATGGTACTAACTCCCCTACTCAGCCCCTCGAAGTAACGCGGTCAAGGGTGACAGAAGCGTACTTGTAAGAGCGAGCCCTTCCACCTGACTTATTCATACGCCTCTCATCTTAGTCACACCAGAAAAAGCAGCAGTTAGACGCACCTTACGGACACCAACTTCATCGCTTCCCGGAAATTGAGAGATGCACGCAAATGCCCACGCTCATCCCCCCTCAACTGCCTTAAAAATAAAACGCTCAACTTTTTATACTGCTATTATTATACTGCGATACTGTTTTCCACCCACTACTTTGGCCTGAAATATTCACATCAAATATGAATTATCCTCCATTGAATTAATTTTTAATGCAGCGTGCGGACTTCTAAGGGAAAGGATGTATGAAATTGGACACACTTATTTCAGGGGGTGAGGCACCATGGTGGAAAAAGTAAAAGGTACGATGTGCTGCTGCATGCTTTGAAGGAGGGGTGGGGGGTGGGGGGGTAAGGTAGAAGGAGTTAAATTAGCAAAATAAACTTTGAAAGCCTGTCATTGAAATTTAAATACATCATTAATTTTTGTTTTATTTTTTTTTAATCGAGGACTTGTTTCTTTAAGTTTTGTCCTTGTTTTCGCAAATGCACTCAAAAGTCAGACCTTCAAAATAAAAGCATAACAGAGTTTGAACACACTTTTGTGGCCCGAGAAAGACTACTAATAATAAAAATACTGGTCAATATTTAAATTTTAATCAGAGATGGGTTTGTGTGTCGCGAAACATTTTGAAGCAGATTTTTATTTATTTTCAAGTTTTTTACCACATCATGTTGTTTTGTGTTTCTTGAGATGAAGTTTGAACTATTAAAGCTTGCGCAATGCAGATTTTATCATGCGTTGTAATCTGTAGTTGACGTTTCAGGAAAAAAAAAACATTCCAAATTTTGCTTCACTTTTACTCAAATTTCTGGAATGGATTGATAGCTGAATCCGATGATCCACTATATTTATTCATGGAAGTAAAAAATTTTTCGACATGTTTCAATCTGTGTGTCATTCTTTCCATTATTCCTGATTTTTTTTTTTCAGAAAATGAGAGAGATTAAAGAAAACACAGGACAAAATAATTTTCCACATGTAGCTTTACAATCAATTTTAACTGATTTTTTTTGGGGGGGGGCAGGAGTGGCAAACTGGAACATTATTCATTCAAAAAAGCCATAATGGCTCGAAACCCCGCCCCCCCCAAACAAACAAACAAACCAAAAAAACCTCATACGACACCATCCTGGCTGAGCTAATTCTAATTTCTGAGCCCTTTTCAGGAGCACCGCGAGCTGTTCTAATTGGATTTGTGCTCCAGCACACCAACATTGATATTCTCCTTGGTACATTGACAAGATAAAGGAATGCGTCACGAAGCAACCGCGGAGATGTTTTTTTTTTTGTTGTTGTTGTTGTTGCGTGATTCCGCCCAAAACTGGAGCGTGACGAGCGTGCGTCGTGCATGTCAGGATTTAGCAAGTGAGTCACAGCCGGGCAGGAAGATTGCTGCTGTAGATCATCCAAGTGGGATGAAGCCAGGATGTTTTCCGACATGTCTGTTAATCCGCATGGCCATGACTAATCTTGGAATCACTGCTTGTCTATTATCACTCCGACCAATGAATAACCTTTGCAAGAAAGTACATCACAGTGAATCAATTCGCTTTAAGGGTCCGAAAAAAAAACCCGGAAAAAAATTTGACCTTTGACCAGTTGCCGCCAGATTCGGTGTCTATCACGACAGGACACATGAAAAAGATCCAGGTCGAACAGGAAGTCATCCGTTTTGGTTTGTAGCAGCCATTTTCTTTTCACTCCAACTCAGGAACCAGATATACTAGATCGATGATTCCCAAATGACGTCATTTTCCTTAATTGATGTGACAATCATAATTATTGACTCAAATGAATTGAACATAATGTAATTTTTAAATCTGTACCTGTATGCAAGCGACACCTTGACGTGCAAGTACCGTATTTTCCACACTAAAAGGCGCACTGGATTATGAGGCGCACCTTCAATGAATGGCCTATTTTGTAATTTTTTTCATATATTGGACGCACCGCCTTATAAGATGCAATCTACAATGTATCCACTAGATGGAGCTGTGCTCAAGGAAATGCCAACAGAACACGACACTACACCCTGATTTATATAGCGACGATCATATGTCAGTCAAACTTATTTAAAAAAAGCAGCGACACAGTTCACTTCACCAACAGCAAGTTATAACATTGACGCGTTTACGTTGAACTCTCTTGCCGCTGCTTTATTTCCGTGTTCAACTGCGTAACCAATCGCCTTAAGTTTGAACTCTGCGTTGTAAGCTTGTCCCTAGCAAGGAGCCATTTTGGGGTTGACATATTACCGTAATGACCATACGCAAGGTGCATCGGATTTTAAGGCGCGCTGTGAGCTTTGAAGAAAATGGAAGGCTTTTAGCTGCGCCTTTTAGTGCGGAAAATACGGTAACCATCTCATGCATCAATAATGATAACCTGTAACCTGATGCAACATGATAAGCTGTCCACTGCAGTTACCGCTGTCCCTGAAAGCGTTAATTAAATGCTCTCCCACTCAATGGAAGAAGCGACAATTGACCTGAGTTTTCTCCTGGTGCTGTTCGCACAACCTAATAAGCAACGGCTTCAGCTTTACACCTGACTAAACAGGCCCGCATTTCACATCGTTGTCACCGATCAATCAATGGATTCAAAGTGAGGATCCAATCCCGGCGGTCTTCACCAAGTCAAAGAAGCAGTCATCCAATGCTAAGAAGTTGCCCAGTCACCTCCGATTCCAGCTCAATGCATTGCCGTGACCAGTTGGCATGAGCCGCACTGCCGTTTTAAAGCGAGGCAATCAATGAGTGATCTTCAGAACACAGAAAAAAAAAGAGCCATCGTATTGTTATCTTGGCACAATGGGCCTTCTCCATGTGGGCCCGCGAGGCGAGGAAAGAAAGAAGGCAGCAGAGTTGTGGGGGAGGATCAATCATAATCACAGTGTGGATTACTGTAACACCGCGAGTTCACTCTCCCTCCCTGCCTTCTGCCTACGACTGGTCGGCCGGGTGACAAACTGCAATATATCCTCCGCGCCACTCATTCATTTTCCTTGACAGTTGCGTGCACGCCGGTGGGGTCCGCGCTCAACAGGGCAGAGAGGGGAAAGAAAAAAAAAAAAAAAGGGGGGGGGGGTGTATGGGCCGTTTATGCGGCGACCCGCAGGCTAAGTAGGGTTAATGAACACAAGGTTGGGGGTGGGACACACTTACCATAATTATCAAGGTTGCCGGTCCGATGAAACTCCAAATGAAGTAGGTGTCAAGGCGAAGCCAGCAACTGCAATGACAAGCATGGACAAGATTGTTAGCAATGCGATGTGGCACGGCTTCTCAAACCACGGGGTCAATGAGCCAAAGCTTGGGTAAAATTTTTAGCAATAAATGATATTGTAATATTTTTTTAAATCAACTTTTATGGGGACCAAGAAAATAACGATCCTACTTCAGGGGTGGACAAACCTTCCAGCGAGGGGGCCGATATATGAACATTTGAAACGAAGAGAGGCTCATTTCAGTTTGTATTGAGGAAACATGCAATGTCGGTCAGCATATGTTGAGCAGATTAGCATAACTCAATAAAAAAAAACGGTCTTCTTCATGTGATATCAAAATGGTAAAAAGTAACGAATAAAATGTAAATAAACCAACAAAAAAAAAAGTGAATTCTTGATGAATTCGTGTTCGGGTATCCTTGGGAAATATATGTCCCACAACTTTTAAGAACCCCGAGTGTATAGTTTGCCTCTCTAGTAGCCACTAAGGTTTATTGAATTGGCCGACAAAGCGAAAAAATGGCCGACGGACCAACATAAACGCTGATGAAGACCAGAGCTCAGCCCGATTCGCTTTCAATTTGCCGGGTTAAGGTAGCAAATTACCGTCACAGATGATAATTTATGGACGATTCAATTAGTCCCAAATTGAATCCCGACTGTATCACTCCAAAGGAATTGGTTCGACCTCGACCCGGACCCGCGCGCACGCCCGTTAAGCCCCGATGACAAAGCGTCTTACAAGCTCCGACTACTCTGAGTAGGCGCCACAATTACGACAATAATGAAACTGCAAGGCACCCCCCCTGACCTCCTACCTCACAGCACGGAACAAGAAGAAAAAAAAAAGGACGAAGCACACGAATAAGAGGCACTGAGCTGACGGATGGACCAAGATAAAATGTGACTCGTGGCTTGTGGTTGAATTATTAATTGCCTCATCTCCGCTGCTTGGCGTAAGACAGACATCTCCGTTTTTGGTAAGTCTAAAATGACCTTCTTGGTACATCCCGGGGAACGCTCAACATCCTCGGTCAAGGGACCTGTCTCGAAACAAGCCCTCAGGTTTATAGATGTGGTCACTGATGGTCAGGATCAATTCCCGCTCAGTGACCGTGATTGGGAATGCGAGTAGGGAATGCTGGGGGTGGGGGGAGTGGCCTTCTTTCCTCCGCGTGTTCGTTAATTTCGGATGATGAGGACGTTAGTTGTCCAAATACAGGCTGGAGACGATGAACAGTACCTTCGCAGGTTTTATTTTTCTTTTCTGCAGTTTACGACTCGATTTGGGCTCCTGAGAGTTTCAGATTTCGTCAGGAAGCACAGAAAAAATAGTCATGAGAATAGATAGAGACAATATGATAATGAGAGGCGGGGAGTTACGCCTCCATGCAAATCCCGGAAACAAAGAAAGATCGATGCAATCCGATCTTGGCATGTTGGGAAAGTCCAGACCTCTCCCGCTGTGCATACGTCTTGACGCTGTGCGTACGTCTTGAGATAAGAGTCCCTCCCCGGGGGAACTTGACGGCCTTCAGGGACTCTCCCGAGGTGGGGGTCAAGGGGCACTAAAGGTGATTGTAATCACAGTAAGCAGGAAATACCTGCAACAGCATTCTACATTCTTTGTTTCAAGTGTTTGAACAGAACCAACAACAGAGAGAGGCTAAAAAAATCACAGTCAGGAAATGGATTCCTTAACAGGAACCAGTCCAAGGTCAGCAACTTCTGAGCATTTTGCCAGTAACAAATGATCTTAAAATTTCTATTTCAATCAAACAACACAAGAATTCGGTTCAATGGTGAATCATGACTGTGTCAAGTTAGACGAGGTCATGGCTGGGAAACCGTCGACGGGAATCATCAGCATTCTGTCATGCACAACTGATCGTTCAACTTCCTGCAATGGTTTCTCTAAATCTCAAAGATGTTTGGTCCCAGAATGCTACCAGGACGTTTACATTGTCAAACCAAAGCAAAACTTCCATTTATTTTCACTGTCATACGATAGATGAGGATAGCGTAAGGCAAGTGGCTTAAGGCGCCCTGCGATTGGCTGGCAACCGGTTCAGGGTGTCCCCCGCCTACTGCCCGAAGACAGCTGGGAGAG